TGTGTGTGTGTGTGTGTGTGTGTGTGTGTGTGTGTGCGTCTCTTTGTGTGTGTGTATGTCTGTGTGTGTGTCGTATGTTTCCACCACAACAGCCCCTATTCCACCCACACAAGTAGATTCGAGTTGAGCCAGCCCAACAACTAAAGAATTCACCTCTTTAGCAAGCAACATGAATCATAATTGAACCGTTTTGAATTGTGTTTAGTTGGGGTTTCTTTGGGGCAACAGCTCCTTTTTTACTATGTCTCGCATGTACAAGGCTACCCACGTTGATTGTGGTTGAGCGGCAGCCGCCGACATCCCTGTGTGCCTTGTGTGTTTGTGTGTGTCTGTGTGTCTGTGTGTCTGTGTGTCTGTGTGTCTGCATGTATGTGTGACTGCGATGCTTAACACACCCTGAAGGAAAGGCATGGTTGTGACAGTTAACCGCCAGAATTAACTCAATGTTTGTGTGTTGTCAAATCATCACCATGTTCAGGTCTGTGTGTGTGTGTGTGCTGTCAGATCCGCACCTTTTTTTCTGAACAACTTCCAAATCTTATGGGCTGACAAAAATAACAACAGTGGACTGACCAGCTTCTGACTCATAATAAAAACGGAAAAAGGAGAGGATGGAGGGTCCCCCATTCTATACGTTGTGCAAGGAGTGATGTGCGCACATGTGCCTGACACCACAAACCAGGTATGGAAAATGATACACAAAAAAGGAATGTGCAAAGATGATAGAACTTACCGCCCAGTTAGTGGGGCCACAAAGAAAACACAACCATTAGAACTACACAGACTGATTCGAATGGCAGCAACAAAGCAGGAAGTGAAGCGGCCTTCCCTGGCTGAGATTGGCAGGCGTGAGGCGTGACAAGGGATGCACAGAGGTTTGAGGGTGAGGAGAACTACAAAAGTGAGTCGTCGAGAGTTTTATTTACCAAGGTCATTATAGGCACTGCTGGAATAGCCCTCGGTGAAGTCCCACCTCCTCCTCCTCCTCCTCCTCCTCCTCCTCCTCCTCCCCCTCCTCCTCCAAGGCAAGAAGACGACAAATCGTTTCTTTGATGTGATTGGTTTCTCCCAATAAGAAAACCGGAAGAGTGACTTGTCTCCTTACTCATGTCCGATGGCATGTACGCCTTGCTGGCATGGTATCCAAAATTCATTATCCCAGACGTTGGTGAAGGCACCACCTGGTTCAAAGAAACACCAAGGCAGAACTGAGTCCATTTGTCATCCTCACATCCCTGTTGCAATCCCAACACGTGGACCAAGCAACAACACAGCATATACTAGAAAGACACAAATGGTGCTATGCCTAACTTCCCAACTGCTTTAACAATGCAATACTACAGGGAACAACAAATGCAACACATTGACAATGGCCCTACCATTTGTAACTATCACTTCTATTCGACCAAAAAAAAAAAAAAAAAAAAAAAAAGGTTGACCAGTACGAGCAGCACTGCACGGAACCACAAGGGCTGGCTGCCGTTGCCATTGCCATTTAGTGCCCTGTAGGCTGAATGGATGACTGGTTATGCACCGCACAGCAAACTTGACCCGATTATCGATATAGAGGAACTTACAAGAGAGCGAGAGCGAGAGAGAGAGAGAGAGAGAGAGAGAGAGAGAGAGAGAGAGAGAGAGAGAGAGAGAGAGAGAGAGAGAGAGAGAGATGATATACACAAGTTCAGGAGTAGGTCGTGTAACAGAGTATGAGTGCCTAACGAGAACAGGAACACCTTGCATATTGATGCAGCACTAGACAGACAGCCGCACATACAGCCGGTTGGATAGAGTTGTTTGCCAGCCAGATCGGAAATGGATGTATGGATGGACCAAAAGCTGGTCAGGCGATAGCACAATCAGATGCCCAACCAGAGAACTGGTCAAGGGGCTAGGTAGCAGTGACACTGGTGAACTCTAAACAAACTTTGTCAGGGTTCTGTGAATGACACAGAGGCAGGTACAGACAAAATGCCATAAAGACATGACAAACCCAACTACCCCATGAAACAGCAAACATACAATTGAACAACGATAAGCAGCATGGCTCATGCGAGCACTTCCCTGCGCATGGCCAATCAGCACACAGTGTCGACAGCATTACCTGTCACCTCAGACAGCTGAGCGCGTGTCACTCAGAACCACCAAGTGACTGGCGTTTCTGAGATGAACTGATCAAACCAATCACAAGAGCATCATCGCCAACAAATACTTTGTGACTACCCGTTGAGGGAAGCTTATGATGGCTACTGTTGTGAGGGAATATAGTTCCACCATATTCCTTCTGTATGATTGCTCCTAATGGCTTCCAACTAACTAATCAACTGGTGCCTACTTTGATGGCTGGTCAGGCAAAACAAACTTGTGACACGGCCAGATAGCCATGCAGATCTGATGGTGGGCAGGCACATAGCATGGCATGAATTGCCCAGCCTGCCCCGGGATCGAGCACAAGGATTGACTTGGCCATCTGGCACTACAGGCAGCCCTCCCTACCAGAAGCACGTGCCCAAAACATGATGCGCTTTTCTTCCGTTTTAACCACCCACATGAAAAATGAAAGAGGACTTGTAAACAGGACGTTTGACCATTCGTGCCGGCAAGAAAAGGTTTCCCAGCTGAATGTGCAATGCAATACCTTTAAACACTTGCGCTGGGACTAGCTGAGCGCAATCAAATTATATTCCATCGCATGACCAGATCGGTTCTGGCGTGCGTCCTACGTGAGAGGTTACCAGACTGTATCAATGAGAAGTCATGTCGTTGCATGCAGGAACGCAGATATTGCTGGCAAACAACCCACAGCACCAGGGACCAGAGAGAGTACAGCAGACAGAGAATCACAAATAGAGGGCACAGTCCGCACAGGGGGGGATCCCAGTGAAATAGCCAAAGAGGCATAGGGTGGGTTTACCGGGACAGCCAGCGCTGAACCAAGGCTGGATTCATTGTGTGTCTGGCGACTAGGAGCTGGTAGAAGCCCCCTTGCATGGGCAGTTTCTTTGGGAACAGGACTCAACGGACAGGTGGCGGCACAGGACGCAGCCATCCTCCTTGTCAGCACGTCCCTCACAAGTGCAGCCTGAGAATCAAGGCACAAAGAGTTAGTTTTCACACCTCCCTGGCCTCCATAGGCCAGTCTGTCTCCCACCAGTCCAATGAAAGCTTCACCTATACTGGCTCTTGTTCCTCTGGCCAAAGCGACAAAAGCCAAACCTCCTGCTAACACTACTGCTCAACCCTCCTCTCAAATTTCGTTGCATGAATAACAAAACCCTTCTCCTTCTGCTCCTCCTCTTGTGCCTCTCCCTCCGTTTCTCCTTCTGCTGTTCCTTCTACTCCTGCCGTTGCCCGTGCTACTCCTCTTTGCTCTCCTGCTACTGCTACAAGTCATTCTCGTACTCCAGCTACCGCCCTTCCTCCCCCTGCTCCTCCTCTTACCCCTCACGCTCACATCAGCTCGTTGTCATTTTTACAACTAAGAGAAGCAGAACAAATACAGACAATGCAGCCCGCATTAGCATCAAACACAGATTACCCCAGCACAAACAGAAAACAACAGAGAACTGCCTACCATTTCATGTGGCGCAACCATTTATGGGGCCATCCACCCAGCGTGCATATGCCCCACAGACATAATGAGCCTCACGAACGATTCCTAGACATCTTCTTCGAGTGCTTTGATCGTTTTAAGCACAGCCTCGTTCCTCCCTGATTAATGGGTTTTTTCCTATGTCACTCATTTGGGAGTGGCAACTCCGCTGTCCCATTCCTGTCCCGAGAAGTCAGCATATTCAACAAAGCAGACCATGAACATAGACCTTATATCCCGCTGACGAACACAGCCTATCGGCCAAACAAACAGTTCTGTCACAGATCAAGGATACGCCTAAATTTCAGCAAAAGCACGCACAGTACTCGTCGATAACTGCAATGCTCCTAAAATAAGTCTGAGGTTTTGCACATACCCCAGGGGAACCGATGAAGCAGAATGCCTTGGCCGGCACCCACACAGTATACCATACCCCAACCAACCAGAGATAATCCAGGTGAGATAACAGTGTCTATGTCTTGCAGAGTGTGGCTCGTGTCGTTCTTGTTCTTGCCATCTACTGCCCCCCGTTTGCTATCACATATCTTGTTCTGAACTCGCTTCCAGCAGTACTAACGAGTAACCGGACTGGCTCCCGCCAGAATAAAACGGGCACAGCGGGTGGGGGAAGAGCGGCTTGTGTGTTGTGGGGGGGGAGAGAGAGAGAGAGAGAGAGAGAGAGAGAGAGAGAGAGAGAGAGAGAGAGAGAGAGAGAGAGAGAGAGAGAGAGAGAGAGAGCACATAAGACCCATGTTGCACAGACTGTCTCCATTGACCCATGCTGCACAGACCATCTTCTTGCTGCACATGAGTCCCTCGCTTCACAGACCGCCAAGGAAATGGTGGACCTTTGAGTGCCATGTCAATCCTGATCCCAAGACGGGCATTGAGCCCAACACATGTGCTGATACGGGCAGCATTCTGCATCGGGAATTCGGCATCAAACAGCACAAGCTGGGTGTGGCCTGCAAACTGATGCAGATCACAGGAGCAGCAACGCATGGCCATATCAATTTTGACCATCAGATGGCCACTCTGCTCTGCCAACGTGCTACCGTCATCAGCCAAAGAGAAACCCCGGTCATTCTTACCATATCTTAGACTGCAAGTTGGCCCAAACATCAATTTTGACAATCAGATGCCCACTCTGCTCTGACAACGTGCTACCGCCTGCACCAGAACAGAACCACCACTGGTCATTATCACCGTATCTTAGACTGAAAGTTGCCCAAAATACAGCTGAAGTGACCGGCATTCTCTTCGGGTGAAGCTGGTAGAAACGGAGCATAAGATCGGCATTGAGCAAGTGACCTGCACTATGTGCTGGATCAGCAATGAGCAGGATGTAGGAGTCGAGCACCATGCTAACCTTTATGCCTATTGCAAGACCCACATGCAGCACAAGATTGGAGCACAAGGAGCAGGCTGATCGCCATGCACAACTCTGGCATTCTATGGGAAAAGGGTGTACTACCGTACCGGCCAATCGGATAAGTGGGCACGATTTGACAGCCAAGAACAGCTTACTCGTGGCTTCACGAGAACCACTTAACCCACCAACCTGATTTTGAATGTATACAACTGACTTTCCGGCCCGGTACGGTCCAGTTCTAAGCTTGACTTCTGACTAACACCAAACTCGTGGCTTGATGAGAACCACTTAACCCACCAGTACCTACCACGTTTTTAGGCGTTGATGCGGTGGATTAATCGGTGCACCACGCAGGTCTGTATTCCTATTCCTTCACATCAGAGGGAGCCTAAGACCCCCTGAGATACTGGTGGTTTAAGCAGATTGATATCGATACTCCGTGCAACGTGGACATCAGCCAACCTCCTAACCTGGAACAGTCCTTCCTTATTTCCCAGTTTATCGCCTTCGTGAGCGAGAGATGGACAAGGGATAACTAACAACTAACATACGTCGTTCTTAAACCCAAGCTACATTGGACTCGATCAAATCATTACATTGGACTCGGTCAAATCTGTCATGTAATGAAGGAAACTCGTCCGTCGTAAAGAAGTTCGCCAAGAAAGGCGAACACTTCAAAACAGTCCCCATCCGCAGGGATTCGAAGTGAGGTATAACGATAGATAAGAATGTGGGGAGGGCCCGTTGCAAGTCCGTAGAAAGGCGTGTATTCCCATCTTCGAACAAGTCACTCCATAGGGTTCAGAAGTGAGACAAGACTGGATACTGAGAAAGTGGGGACGGTGCAGTTAAGAGTCAAAAATCCCATAACTGTGCAATCAACCTGATTAGATAGATTCCTTGGTTAATTGGTTGGTTGGCTAATTGATTGGTTAATTGGTTGGGTAATTGGTTGGCTAATTGATTGGTTGGCTAATTGATTGGTTGGCTAAATGATTGGTTGGCTAATCTATCTAATCAACCTGATTAGATAGATTGGTTGGCTAATTGGTTGGTTAATTGGTTGCCTAATTGGTTGGTTAACTAGTTTGTGATTTTGTGCCATACATGAGACTACTTGGTCAGCACTTCAAGACCCATGAGTATCTTCATCCAGCCATAAATTCTTCAGTCAATCAGCAGGTGACGGCTACTGGACAGCGGTTCCATTATGCAGGGGA